CCGCCCCCGCCGCCCCCGCCGCCCCCGCCGCCCCCGCCGCCCCCGCCGCCCCCGCCGCCCCCGCCGCCCGTTACCTGCCGGTCCCGCCGCCCCGCGTTCAAACGGCGGCCCCGCCCCGGCGGGCGGTCCCGGGGCGGAGCGCGGCGGGGCGGGGCGGGGCGGGAAAGGAAGAGAAGAGAAGAGAAGAGAGGGGTGAGCGGCTGGCGGGCCAGCGGCTCCGGGAGTAGCGATGGTGTCGCTGGGGGAGCGGTGCTCCCCGTCGGGCAGGGCCGGAGATCTGGCGGCGCTGTCGGAGCTGGACGAGGCGGCGCTGCTGTCCGGGCTGCGGGAGCGTTTCCTCAGCCAGGACATCTATGTGAGTGCCGCGCTGCGGGGCGGGGGGCGGCGGTGGGCTCCGGGCTGACTCGCTCTCCCCCTTCCCACAGACCGACATCGGGGACATCCTCATCGCCGTGAACCCCTTCCAGCCGCTGCCGCTGTACGGCAGAGAGGTGAGCGCCGCGCCCCCCGCCGCGCCCCGCCGGCCCCCGGCCGCTCACGCCTGTCCGCCGCCGCTTCCCCGCAGGTCTCCGAGCGGTACCAGAGCCTCCAGACCGACTCGCTGCCGCCCCACATCTTCGCCGTGGCCGGCCGCGCCTACCACGCCATGCTGGGCCGGCGGGGCGGCGGGCCCCGCAACCAGTGCATCCTCGTCAGGTGAGGGGTGGCCGGGGGTCCCCGGGGGCGGGCAGCGGTGGGAGGCCGAGTGACAACCCCCGGGCTCTCGCTGGGATCTGCCCGCCGAAGGTTCAGGTGAAGCTCGTCTCCGGTGCTGCTGGCGAATCAAAATCCGTCTGCGCTGGCAGCGCATCCCTCATCCCGACCTCTTTCCAGGTCGCGGCAGAGATGTGTGGCAAACAAAGCTGGCTTTCCTGGAGCAGCTCGGCCAGCGATGCTGGTCACGACGCTGAATATGCCAGGTTCGCTTTTGGAGGGACGTGCCTTTGGAAGGGTTTAACCAGCTCCGGGGAAAGTCACAAAGTACTCTCCTCTGGCAACACAACTACCTCAGTAAATGCTGTATAAAGGTTAAACATAGTGGAAGGAACCTGTTTTCACAGAGTTGAGCTTCCTATATATGATTAAAGAAGTAGGAGGAATCAAATATGCTTTTTTGCTCCCTGACTGTTGGGGAGAATCCCATTGTCATGGCCAGTTCTGTGTGCTAGAAGTGGGGGGGAAAAAGTGTTGTTTTAACCAAAGAGTGTTTCAGTATCACGAACATTTCACTCCATGATGTCACTATTGTTCTGCTGAAACTCTGCAGGGCAGCAGGTAGTGTCAGCTAGCAGAGAAAGCCTCAAAGAGCATCCACTAGCAGAGAAAGCCTCAAACAGCAAACAGAAAGGCTCAAAGCACAAACCACCTCTTCTGGGTGTTGTAGAGAACAGTTTAAATGTCATCGTAGTTAAAATGTTAATTGTGTGTTTGATTTAATACTCCCTTTTTTATATGGGGCTTCTGACCATTTTGTCAGTACTTTCAGTCTACATAGTGTGGAACTGAATTGCTGAATCACTGCTGAGTGTTTTGATGGGACTGGGAGCTGACCTTGAGGGTCACTTAAGCCCCATTCATTTCTGTAGCCTGCAGGCCATCAGTGCCATTGCTTTATGTGAATTGCTCTCAGGAAGTGGTGGCTGTGGAGTCAGCACGTGCAAGAGGCAGTGCTGGTAGGGCTCTTGGGGATGAAGAACAATCATCATATTTGCCTTGGGATGTGGAAGACAAGAACCTGTGAGCATTCGCCAAGAGGTCATTGCTCTGATTGTTTTATGCCAGCAGTTTGTGGTCTCAGAGATGAGAGTCTGGTGTATTCTTGTGCGTCTTGCAACTCTATCAACTGGTCTGTGTGTTGCTATCACAGGAAGTTCATGGTTTTGCTCTCTTATCAATGGTGAAACACTCATTAACAAGATTACCTGACCTGAGCAGGAGTTGGGGTAGAGATGGAGGAGGAGGAGGTCACTCCTCCTAGACCACGGTTCATCAAAACAGCACAAGGACACACCAGGCTCTACTGTTCCTTGTAGTCTCTTTAGGGTCTCCTGCTTAGTCTGGGAGGCTGCATGGCATGTTTCAGAGGTTGATGTTAGACAAAGCAGCTGCCCCCACATGACAAGTGTACATGGCTACTGAGTTATCCTGAGCTAGGAATTCTGCTGGCTCTTCTTACCCTCCCGGTCCCAACAGACATTAGTCATAGCCTGGGCATGCTGTAATACAGCACTTGGGTCACCTGAAGATGACTTTGCTTTTCTTCACAGCCTGGAGCAGTTACACACTGGCAGCTGGATAGCGCTTGCAGGCCCTGCTGAAGCTGTTGTGCTTGTTGGAGGGTCTAAGGACAAGCTTGAACCTTAGGAGTGCTGACTGGTAGTTCTCCTGTGGAGGAAGCAAGTTACTGAAAACAAAAATAAATCTGACATACTGAGCAGAGGCATTGTCTGGATGGCATGTTCTCAACTGGCAAACTGGTCTTGCTTTGTTTGTACTTATTTGGATGGTGCTGGTCTGATCTGTACTTGAAATCAGGTATGTGCTCTACTATTCGAGGTTTTCAGCCTACCTGTGACACATACTTGATCCCAAGCACAGAGCCACTGGGAGCTACAAAGCAGGAAAGCCATGCCACAAGCTCAAAGGTCGGCTGTGGAGACGGAGACCTGCCCTCAAGGATACCTCTAGCATTTCCTGCATTCATTTTTTTTCACCACACTTATGCTGAAGTTCTCAGTTGGTGTGTTGTTATCAGTCAGGGACACGTTGTCTCACTGATCATATGTTCTCCATGCCAGGACAAGGCAAACTGCGCTTTCCAAGTGCTAGTTGTTTGACTTGGGGGCGGAGGCGCTGTGGATGTGTGTCAGCAGGGTGACGTGCAGTGCTGACGCTGTGGGGGTACAGGCAGCTCTGTGCCTGTCTGCCTGTGCTGTCAGCCAGCTGAGGCACGTGGATGTGTGAAGCATCTGAGATTTGAGACTGCCACTCAAGATCAGTATTCAGTTGTGGATATGATATGGATAGGGCAAATCCCTTTGGAGAAACAGGAAGCTGTTGACTCCAGCATAGGTGAGGCAGTTGATGTATCAGATGACTTTTGAAGGAGTTTGTTTTCCAGAAGATAGATTCCGCTTTCTTAAGAAGCAGAACAAATGGTGTGTCAGGTGTATCCCATCCAGAAGTGACAACAAGGGGTGTATCTGTACTCCCTTGCAGATGGGGGAAAATTTCCCTGAGGAGGAGGGACCAGGATCTTGTGGGACACCCAGTGTAAAGCTGTGGTATGTGGGTTGTACTCACACTTGCAATTTTGCTGAAAAAGTTGTGAATCTTGTGGAGAGCACACTCTGCTACAGAGACACTGTAGCACTGAGGGCACTTAGGCCATAAGGGGCAGAACAACTATACTTTGCAGCTGTTGGAATTTCTTCTGCTTTTTCTTGGCAGTGGAGAGAGTGGTGCAGGGAAGACAGAGAGTGCAAAGCTATTGTTGCAGCAGATAATGAACCTATGCAAAGGCAACTCGCAGCTGGAGCAGCAGATCCTTCAGGTAGGTCATTACAGGGTGGTGCTTGAACATGGAGAAGCAGCACTGCTGCAAGACAACTTAGGGAGGCTTAGGAAGCCTGCTGATGAATTACCACTGGAAATCAGGGAACGATACATAAGACACGTAAGAAAATAGTAGATAAGAATGGTGAAATAGCTGATGACAAATTGGAAGGGTCAGTAATTCTGTTTGCTGGGGATGTTTCTTAAATTATAGAAAACTATTGCAATAATTTATCATGTTCTCTGTTACAAGGGATTAGTGGCATTTTTCCAAATCATTTCCTGTTTCAGGTAAAACAAGGAATTTCAATGGAAAAATGAAGTTTTGATTTAATGGTACACAGGCATGGAGAATCCACACAGCCTTCAGTAACCTTTCCTTGGCTACTTATACTGTCAGGAACATACCTGCTAACTGGCTAACTGCCATCTTTGCTCTTTTCACATACCCTTGCTAATTCTTTTTGAAATATATTTGTCTCTTTGATCTGAAGAATTGAACTGAATTGAATTTCTCCAGCAGCACAGGCAGATGGGGAATGGGGGTTGAGCTCTGTTCTGTGCACATTATCTGTGCTACTGTCTTCCTCCTCATGCTCGTCCCCTGCTCCGACGTGGGCTTCCTCCCACAAAAGACAGTCCTTCAGGAACAGACTGCTCCAGTTGTGGGTGTGTTCCATGGGATGCAATCCTTCAGGAACAGGCTGCTCCAGCATGAGTCCCCTGCAGGGTCACAAGTCCTGCCAACAAAGCTGCTCAAGCGTGGGCTCCTCTCTCTACAGGCCACAGGTCCTGGCAGGAGTCTGCTCCATCATGGGCTTCCCATGGGGTCACAGTCTCCTTCAGGCATCCACATACTCTGGTGTGGGGTCCTCCATGGGCTGCAGGTGGATCTCTGCTCCCCCCTGGACCTCCATGGACTGCAGGGGCACAGCTGCCTCACCATGCTCTGCACTGTGGGCTGCAGGGGAATCTCAGCTCTGGTGCCTGGAGCACCTCCTCCCTTTCCTACTTCACTGACCGTGGTGCCTGCAGTAGGTGCCTGCCTTCCTCTCACACATTATCACTCTTCTCTTCCAGCTGCAGTTTTTATCTCAGAGGTGTTGCTACTATCGCTGGTGGGCTGAGCCTTGGCCAGTGGCAAGTCTGTCTTGGAGCCAGCTAGCATTGGCTCTCTTGGATGTGGGCAAAGTCTCTAGCATCATCTCACAGAAGTCACCCTTTAGCCCCTCCTGCTACCAAAATATTGACATGTAAACCCAATACCTCATGCCATGCTTTGGGCTTAGAGTGGCATATTAATTTCAGTGTGGCATCGTCCATGGTGGATCCAAGGTGAATGCTTGTGCTTTGTTGTGAGAACGTGATGTTGCTACACCTGCTGTCTCTGCTTAGAGCTGGCTTGGGCCACATTGCCAGGCTGCTTCTGACCTGAGCAGGTTCCAGAAGCAGGATAGCTGTGTTTGCTCAGCACAGGGCCTGGAGGCAGCCTGCAATTCCTCCACTGGAAATAACACTCCCT